GTGGGTGGGCAGGAAACCCAGCGTCCCTTGGTCCTGCTGCAGGCCAGGGATGTCCTGCAGAGCCCTGGGCCATGGGGCACCTGCCTTTGGCAGATGTCACCCAGAAGCCAGACCCAAGGCCAAGGCCCAGAGGGGCTGAGCTGACTTCCTGCTCGCTCGCTCAGCCGTCAGGGGCAGAGCTCTGAGCTGGTGTAGAGCACAGACCGCCCCGCTCCTCCCTCACAGCCCTGAAGTCCTCACCGTCCAAGAAGGGGCGCAGTGCCCTCCTGGCGGTGAAGCCCCTGGGGCCCACAGCAGCCTTCTCGGCCAGCCAGATACCCAGTGAGCGAGAAGATGCACAGTACGACCTGCGAGGAGCCCGCAGCTACCCCACACTGGAGGACGAAGGTGACCAGGCAGCTGCAGTGGGCTCACAGGGCACAGCCACCCCCTCCTGAGGATCTGCAGTGGGGTAGTAGCGAGCTGCAGGGAAAACCAGACGGGTGCCGTAGCCGTCTTCATGGAAAGATCTGGTGCTCTGCCCGGCACTCCCTGCTAGGGTCAAGGACTCCAGTCAGGGGAGGGCTAAGTGACAGCATCCTGGGCAGAGAGCATATCCTATGCAAAGGCCCTGGGGCAGGGTCCTGCCTGGTGAGAGAGGCAGAGTGAGCCAAGCAGGAGACTGGTGTGTCCTGCAAAACCCTGTGGCCTCCCCACAAAAGCTCCAAGAGCTCTTTACAAGGAGGACATTCATCCCCTCACTCTGGGAGGATGAGGCTGGAAGATCACAAGTTCGAGCTGATCCTGGGCAATTGAACAAGTTAGTAGGATCTTGCCTCAAAAACTCAAAAGAGCCAGGGATGTAATGTAGCTCATTGCAAAGGCCAAATACTGAAGAACAAAAAGAAAAACAGAAAACCAGGACATTCAACCCTGTCGTCGTGCATCTGGAGGGCCAAGAGGGAGGTGGCGCATTCCGGGTTAGGGTTAGGGTCCCCAGGGTGGGGCCCTCGGCTCAGCCCCATAGAAGGTGGAGCTGCTGGGTGGGTGTGTGGGACAAACAGGAGGCTCCTTGAGCTGCCCATCGCCTCCCCACACAGGGCGACCCGACCTCCTGCCCTGCACTCCACCTTCTTTTGAAGAAGCCACCACTGCCTCCATAGCCACAACCCTGTCATCCACATCCCTCTCCATCCCTGAACGGTCCCCCTCTGAGTCGTCAGAGCAGCCTCGGTACAGGTGGGTGGGACCGTGGTGGGCAGGTGGGTGGGGCCCCCAAGCAGATGGATGAGTGGACCTTGGGCCCTAGTCATTTCCGTTTCCCATCTGCCATCTCTGCAGGCGGCGCACGCAATCTTCTGGACAGGATGGCCGGTGAGACCCTAGTCTGACCCCCTCACCCCTCTGGTGTCATCTGGCAGGGAGACCCTTCACGTCCAGCCCGCCTGCTGGGTGCTCCGACCCTCCTCTGCGGAGCCCTGGGTCCTGGTGTGGGATGGGTGGGGCAGGGTCCACGCATAGCCTCAGAGCCCGCTGTGCCCCAGGCCCTGCCAGCCAGCAGGACTCCCCCGGGGCTCAGTTCCCCACTACCCCTGGGCACGGCGGCGGGGACTGAGGCACGGCTTGGTTGCTGACAGGCCCCAGGAGGAGCCGCACGTGGAGGAAGACCTGCAGCAGATTACAGTGCAGGTGGAGCCCACGTGCAGCGTGGAGATCGTGGTCCCCAAGGAGGACGCGGGGTGAGCATGGGCTCCTGGGGTCCCCCAGCCATGGGAGGTGGTGATTCGCTTCTCGTTCCTCCTCTGATCTGAGGCGGTGCTTCCCAGACTTCGTGTTTCTGCTCTCGGGACACTGGGGACATTTGTGGTCATCATGTAAGGGAGCTCCTGGCCAGGGCCACTGCTCAGCACCTGCAGTGCCCGGGGTACCCCCCAGAGGACAGCCCAGTTTCAGTGCCCACAGTCCTGAGGGGGTGGGACCGTGGGCAAAGGGCTGTCCAGCAGTCTTAGCACATATTTAAGCATTTTTATGTTCACTTTTTTAGTATTTATAATTTTAATGAGCTTTGATAGGAAGAAAGCCTAAACAGACCAGTGTTTTGTTTTCATTTGGTTTGGTGCCATGGTGCTGGGCAGCTTACTGAGATCTTGTTTCAAAAAACAAACACAGGCCTGGGGATTTAGCTCAGCGGCACCGCACCTGCCTCACAAGCACAAGGTCCTGAGTTCGATTCGATCCCTGGTACCAAAACAAACAAACAAAAAACAAATATAAAGGACTGGGATGCAGCTCAGCAACCTCAGAAGTGCTTGCCTTGCATGTGTGAGGTCCCCGATTGAATCTTCAGTACTGAAAACCAACAACCGAAAAATAACATTGTGCTACTTTTTGTGGCGTTTATTTTTTGTTTGTGGCGTTTTTATTTTGGGGTTTTTTTGGTACCATGGATCAGACTCAGGACCTTGAGCTTGCGAGGCAGGTACGCACGCTATTTTTTAAACAAAGTTTTCATGATCGAGTAGAAAATTTATTTTTGTTTCATTTTGTTTGTTTTTTGAGACAAGGTCTTGCTGTGTAGCCCAGGCTGTCCTCACTCATGGTGACCCTCCTGCCTCAGCCTCCCCGTGCCTGGCCAAATCCATTCTTTTAACTGTTCAGGGACTTAAGGAAAAAAATATATACCAAGTTTCCCTCCATACCTGTTACAGCTGGCTGCTCAGTTGTTACTGAGTCTCTTTTATTAGTTTTCGTCTGTCACGTGTTTATAATTCTTAACTGCTGCTGTTGTCAAATTCTTCTTGACTTTCTAGTTTTTGCTTGGTAGTTGTTGTGCAGTACTAAGGATTGGCCCCAGCTTGTCATTGAGCGCCACCCCCCCTTCTTATATTCTTTTTTGTTTGTTTGGTTGGTTTTTTGTCGTGTTGTTTTGTTTTGTACTGGAGGTCGAACCTTATTTTCATTTGGAGACAGGGCCTCGCTAAGTCCCTGAGTTGCCCGGGCTGGACTGGAACTTGCCATCTCCTGCCTCAGCCTCCTGAGTGCTGGGAGGACAGGTGTGCACCACGGGCCCAGCTTTGCGTGGGTCTTTTGTCCCCCTGATGACGATGATGACATTTTGCGGTCCCTCCTGAGGCTGCAGAGGTCCAGGAAGGAGCAGGGCAGATGGGGTCCGGGCAGGGTGGCTGGATATCGTCAGAACCACCCGGGATCCTGCATCTGTCCCGCTTTCCTAGGGTGGATGCCTGCCCAGCCGGTGCCTCTGCATCTGCCGTGGAAGCAGAAACCGCCAGCCAGGCCTCGGATGAGGAGGACGTGCCCGCCACTGACATCTACTTTGTAAGTTCCCAGGTCCCACGGAGCCACACCAGCCACACACTTGAGACCTGGTCTCACTCACACGAGCGATCTCTCTCTCTCCCTCTCTCTCTCTCTCTCTCTCTCTCTCTCTCTCTCTCGTCCAAGCACACAGGGCAGTATGCCCTGCCCTGCTCCAGCCAGGCCGGGCCCTTCTTGGACCCTGGACCTGGCTCCATGTCCAGAGGAGAGAGGCCACAGATCAAGTTCAGTGACCCCAGCTTTGGGTCCTGGGGCCAGCACAGTGCTGCCCACGCGGGATCCAGCTGCCCAGCTGGAATGGGCAGCTCCTGGGCTCCCGTTGTCACATGGGCGGCCTGGGCACCAGCCTCGCACCCTTTCCTCACTAACTCACCCTGCTTTGTCTCGGAGCCGCACTTCCTGCCCTGGGCCCCAAGCCCCTGCTGGCCCCGGAGAAGGAAGGGCCCGTGCCGTGTCCGTCTGTGGATGGCGAGGGGTGGCCAGGGCCGTGCGTCCCCAAGCCTGGTGGGCTGCAGAGCAGGTCCGCTGTGCACCCTCCCACCTCCGCTTCCGCTGTCGCTTGTCCCCGCCGCTGTTGTCCCCACACCTTAGCCTGTGCTCTCTTCTTCCTCTGGCCCCGCCGCCCAGTTCGCCGATGGGAGGCACTGGATTTACTCCCCCCGCCATCGCCGACTGCGGGCCGTGACGCTGAGCTCCTCAGGGACTGTAAGTGACCGCAGCCGGCCCCCTGGGGAGAAGGGGCCCTGCCCTCCTCTGGGCAGCAGGGAGCTGCGGGTCCCCAGCCTGAGACACGGTGCCCAGTGTCGCCATTCTGTCCTCAGAGGACTTTGGGGAGACGATGGTGGTGAAGTCATGGGGACATCACTGACCCCGGGGTGACTGGGCACTCGCCACGTCACCGGGCCAGGCTGTACTGCGGTGGGGTCAGCCCTGACCTCAGCTGCCCGCTGTGTCTGTCTCAGCCCTCCGCCTTCCACGCCGGCGCTTGCCCGGGCTCACTGTCCCAGCATCGCCCCGTACACAGCTCACAGGCAGTGGCAGAGCTGAGCTCTTCACAGCGTCCCCCAGGCCCCTCCAGAGAAGCTTAGGCCTCAGCCCCTGGGGAACCTGTGAGAACACAGGCTCAGACAAAAGCCAAGTTCCCTAGCTGGGCACACCTGTCATCCCAGATACCTAGGAGGTTGAGGCAGGAGGATCTTGAAGTAAATTCAAGGCCAGTCTGGGCAACTTAGGGAGACTTTGTCTCAAAAAATTAAAAAGGAAGCCAATCATGGTGGCAGACACCTGTAATCCCAGCACTTAGGAGGCTGAGGCAGGAGGATCACTGTGAGTTCAAGACCAGCCTGGGCTACATAGTGAGTTCCAGGTCAGTCTCAACTACATAGTGAGACCCTGTCTCAAAAAAACAAAAACAAAACAAGACAAAAGGCTAGGGGTGTATCTCAGTACTGAGCATTTGCCTAGCCTTGCATTAGGCCCTAGGTTTATTTGAAAAACCAAAATGGTCTGGAGTTTTTCAGTAGCTCAGCAGCAAACTATGAATAGACACTTGCCCACCCAGTGTACCCGCGATACCACAAAGAAATCTAGTGGTTGTGATATTATAGGTGTCTGTTTTCATTTTTACCAGCCAACAAGGGGCCCAGAGAGGCTGAGTAACCTGCCCAGAGCTGCACAGCACTCACAACCAGGCAGGGCACCAACTGGAAATGAATGTCATTCTCCAGGTGGAGCCCTTAGAGGTCGCCCTTTCACTCCCAGCCATCAGCAACCTCGCTGGGTGTCACCATGTGCCAAGCACTGGAGCGACTCCCAGGAGTCAGAGACCACGTCCCAACCCCTCTGCTCACCACCTGCCTGGGTGGCAGACACGAGCCAGGGAAGACGCATCCTGGGCAGCTATGGCTGGCAGCCAGATAAAGCCGGGGCTGGATCGGTTTGCAGAGGCCTAGGTTTGGGCTGCCTTAGTGGGGCACAGCAGAAGCAGAAGTTTGAGCCGTCGTGGTGGTGCACACCTGTAAACCAGGCATTCTGGGAGGCTGAGGCAGGAAGATCACAAGTTTAAGCCCAGCTTGGGCATCTGAGAGACTCAGTGAGACCCTGTCTCAAAATAAAAATCGAAAAAGGGGCTGAGCATGTAGTGCAGTGTGAGGGTCCTGGGTTCAGTCCTCAGCACCCCTGAAAGAAAAAACGCCAAGTGGGAGCGCAGGTGGGAAGGAGGGAGCAGCTGCCAGAGGCCGTGCAGCTGGGAAGGACTCGGGCACCCAGGGTCCTGCCCCAGGCCCCGTCTGCAGCCGAGGGCCTCCTTTGTGTCCTGTGCTCCTGGGGAGCCGCCAGCTTGTCCGCCTTCTCTCACGTGCCTGAACAGCGTGAGTCCCTCGCAGGGGAGCAGCGCTGAGCACTTCTGAAGGGACCCCCCTGGGGCTAGCTCTTTAGGGTTTGGGGTGCAGCGGTCTTCCTTTGGGCCACTTGTTTCCGAGCCCAGCCTGCCTCACCCAGCTTAGCTCAGAGCTGGATTCCTGGGGGCTGGGGAGGCAGGCAGCTGTTTCGCCTTCAAAAGTCGGTTTTGTGTGGCCTCTGGATCCAAGGCGGAGGCTCCAGTCACATGCAGCCTCCACAGCGCCTCTTTGTGGTGGCCCTCATGGCTCTCTAGGGACCTGGCTGGAGCCCCACAGTCGATGGAACTGGTGGGCTTGGGGAAGGGGTTTGTGGGCCAAGGGTCTTGGAGCTGGGGGATGGATGAGCCCAGGGCCCCGGCCAGTCAGGGAGGGCAGAGGCTGGCAGCTGACGGTCCGTGCTGTCGGGCAGGCTGGGGACACATTCTGTTACGGCTGTGATGAGTTTAGGTGCCGAGGGACACCAGATGCACATGGCAGGTCCTGTGCACATTCAGGGGCCGTGCACCCGGTGGGGGGGAGCTTGGGAAGCCGGGGGTGACAGGGAGGCCTGGGAAGAGAGAAGGTGTCAAGATCGGGGGTCAGCTGAGCCCCTGGGGAGCCCCCAGTGGCCCCTAATGGTCTGAAGGGCTATTAGAACGGGGAGCAGAAGCTCCCTCCCCAAACCTGAGCCTAACCCGCACACTCCTGTGCCAGGCCAGGTGGCCCTGCCCGGGCCCAATGCGGCCTGTCCCCAGAAGGTGCCCTTTGCTCTACGGGGAAGGCTTGAGTAGACAGCACGGGGACCCTGACTGCCCAGTGCCCTTCTGGAGGTCCCAGGACTCCTCTACCCAGAGCCAGTGTAGGAGGCTGGGGAGGAGCTGGTCGTGAGGGAGGTCGGTGGGGTTGAGGCGCGGGCCGGGGGCGCTCCGGGCTGCAGTACCCCACCATCCCTTCCGCCCTCCTCCCTGTCCCGCTGTCCCTGAGCCTTGACTAACACCTCCTGCTGCCCACCGCCTGCCAGCCGAGGATGTCGGGGTTGGGGCAGGTGCACTCGTCCGAGGGGTCCGCCTCTTTTATTTTCTCCTGTTCTTCCTTCCTCCTCCTGTGCCTGTCTCTGCCTCCGCTCACCCTCTCTTCTTCTGCGCCCCCTGCACGTGCCCGCCCGCCTGCCTGCAGCCCACCGACGACAGGAGCTGGGTGTACTCCCCGCTCCACTATAGCACGCAGCCCCAGCCCTCCGACGGCGAGAGCGACACAGTGAGTCCCCCGGGCTAGGAGGGACCCAGACAGACGGGCGAACAGGCTGGGGCGGGGGGCTGGCACCCAGCTCACCGATGTGCAGGTATCTCGGGCCTGGGTCGCCCCCGAGGCCAGGCAGCTCGGAGACCAGGGCAGCCCCAGGTGGGGGGTCCTCACCCAGGTCCCCGCATGCCCTCACTACCCCCTTTCTTTTTGCAGTAATTTCTATGCAGTCCCCCACCTGGGGCCGAGTGCCCACCGCCGCCTCAGATGCTTCCCAGAGGCGCTGCCTGCCCAGCTGAGGCCCAGAGTTCCGGGACACGCCGCCCTGCGGCCAACCCCAGCCAACCTTCTCTTCATCCTGCCCCTGATGGACGCCGCCGGCCACGCCCCTCCCCACCCCATGCTCTGCAGGCCACACGGTGACCCTGGGCCACCCACACCGCACCCGCCAGACGGCGACCTTCCAGAGCGCCGTGTCATGTATTTATTTTGGGTCCTTATTCTTTGCACAGACAGAGGCATGTGGTGCTTTTTAGGGGAAAAAAGATGAAGCAGAAAAGGAAGACTCCACGCCACTGCACTTTGGTCCTTTGTCTCCACTGCATGTGTCCCACAGGGACGAGGCCATTCCTGCCACCTTGGGACCTGGGCCGTGGGGGTCTGGCTTCCCAGGTGAAGCTCACACTCCAGGACAGGCCCCTGGGTGCCTCTTCCTGCTCTTTCTTGCGGTCCTGTGTGTGGTGGGGCTGCCCCTCCCGGAAACAGATCCTCCTGTGCGTGGCTCAGGTTTGGGGCTCAGTGCGGGACAGGCATCCTCAGTAGTGGCTCCCAGTGCCTCACTGTCGTGCTCAGCCACCAGGAGGGACATCCCGGGACCTAGGTTCCCCTGAGCAAGAACGCCCAGGTTGTTACATTCCTGTCCCCGGTGCGGCCGCCCCTCTTGGCAGAGCTCAGGGCTGTGGACTTGTCTGTCTCTTCCCGGTGTGGTCCTCACGGTCCTCGGAGGAGAGGACCCCCTTGGGAGACGCCTCAAAGCAGAGCCTCTGACTCCTGGAGGGGCTCGGCTGGGCCTTGGGCTGCGGGATTGGACAGCAGGTGTCCTGGGTGGGCAGTTCTGATGGTCAAGCTGCTAACACATTACGGCCACCACAGGCCAGGTTCAGGGGCATCTCCTATCGGTGTCCCTCTTGTGGCAGCCACACTAATCCAGAGACTGGGAGAGGTCATGTTGGTGATGGTCCCCAGCCCCTGCCCACTCTGATCCCCCTGCAGAGACCCATGGGGGGCAGTGGGTGGGGCTTGGAGCTGAAGCCACACCTCTCAGAACAGCACGGGGCGGACCCATCCAGGAATTTACCTTTTTTTTTTTAAGCCCACTGCAAGATGTCAGCCTGCTGTCTAGGTGGTGTCCCTTCCACAGTGGGGACACAGTGGGAATCCATCTGCTCTTTCCCAAGCCACCAACAGGAAGCCCGTAATCCAGCCCAGACCCTCACGGGGCCCAGCTGCTGCCTTGGCTCTGAGGACCTCTCCCAGGGAGCCCAACTGGGATCCCCAGCCCCAGAAAAGGGTTTGTCCAGGCCCTAGAGACAGCTTCATCACCACCTCGCCCAGGCCCCCAAGGACGTGGCCCCATTGCAGGAGGTGGAGTCTGGTCGGCATGGTGGCAGAGAAAGGGCGTGGTTTGTGGAGCCCCCATTGAGTCACAGGCTGTACGCGGTGCCGGGGGCTGGCGAGGTCTTGTAGCCCTCCTGGATGGATGTCCCAACATTCCATTTTTGTGTTGAGTCCCAGAGTTCCCTTTGGAGATCCACATCATGTGGACTGCTTGTTTCATTCCTTTTCAGAGTGTCACAAAAAGGATGCTAAAGTGTCAGACTGTTTCAAGGGGCCTCACTTGTTTAGCATTTTGGGGACAGTGGGCTGGATGAGAGACCTATTTATAACGTGTGGCAAACTCAAGACCTTCCTCAGACCCCAGGAGGGAGGCCCTGGATGTACCTGGCTGTCCCCACTCCCTGGAGACCTGTAAATACCCCAGTGACCCAGCTCCCTCCTGCCTCGCCTCTCCGGACGGCTGCTCTCGCAGACCCCGGACAGTGTCCGAATCCCTGTACTGTAAAAATGGAGAGGCATTTTCTTAAGACTGGCAAGGTGGAAGTTTCCACGTGTCCCCTTCCAGCCTGTCCCCTCCCCTCAGGCCACTCCAGCTGCCCTCATTCACCTCCACACTTGGCTCAGTGCAATACTCCCGTCCCTGCGGGGTCCGTTGCCAGGGTCCTGTCGCCACAGCCCCTGGGTTTCCCCCCAGGACGAGCATCCCCTCCACACCCACCTCCTCTCTGGTGGTTACAAGTTCCATTGCCCAGGCCACCCCAGTCTCTGTGCGGCTAAACCATTTCAAAACAAAAAACTGCAAATCTTGTGTCTTAACCCCCACCAGGGGTCCCTCATCCTCAGCCCCCGTGGTCTGGTGTGTGACAATCCGGAGCATGGCTTCCTGTGGCACCAGTAGCCAGGCCATGTCCTTCCAACCCAGACCTGTGGGCGCCTCTGACAGTACAGCTGCCGCTGGCCCCACAGAATACCTGTATGTTGCCTGGGCCCCACCTGCCCATTCCCACCACGACCCTTCTTTTTATGTCGAAGAGATCTCTAATAAATCGGTTATAAACATCAGTTGACTTGGTTTACCTGTGTGGATCGGGAGTTGGAGGACTGACAGTATCAGATCAGAAAGAAGCCTTTGTGAAATTTACAATAAGATCCAGAGCCATGCCTGGTGACACGTGCCTGTAGTACCGACACTCTAGGATACTGAGGCAGGAAGATAATTTCCAGCCCGTTCAGGAACTTAGGTATTTAGCAAGACTGTCTCAAAAAGGATTGAGAGTATAGCTCTGTGAGAAGGTCTCAGGAGCATTGGTTAAATCTGGGATTTCCTGGGCGATACGGTGACGAAGATCAGACCCGAACACCTGGATAAAACAGCCATGATTTTCTGCAGGTTCCAGTTCAACTCAGGAAACATTTGAAAGCCTCTGATACCCGCAGCCCAAGGGAACAGACAGCAAGCGTCAGCCTCCAAAGCCAGGCTGGGTATCAACTACGTGATGAAGGTCAGAGCTAGTCCCCAACTGCTTCATCTCTGCTGCTCGAGACTTGTCCGACTGCTCCCTTGTCCACGTGACAAGTCCCAGCTCACTGCGGAGCAGAAGAGGGGTGTAAAGTGACTTAGCCTCTCCTGGCATGTTTCTCCTCCTGTAGATTGGGTTGGGGGGATTAGGAAGTGATCCCAGGTTCTTAAAAGTTTAACCTGTTGAAATGCACAGGTATTTACTGGCAGTTGACAGGGCATGAGGACCCAGACCAGCATCTAGGACACCGGGTTCCTTCCCCCTTTCTACAGCAGTCTGGACTGGAGTCCGCCCAGTTAAACTGATTTCCCTCTTTCCCAAGACCCGGTTTCCCTAGATTCGCTTCCCTTAGCCACGCCCTACTTGGCCACACCTCCTCGGTTCTGCCTACCCTGCTCCACTTCCTCCGCGGATTCGCCTCCTCGAAGTTCCGCCTCCTCGGGCCCCGCCCCGCGTTTCCGGCTCGCTTGGCCACGCCCACGCCCGGCCAC